GCAAATGGGAGGGGGGGGGGGGGGGGGGTACGTCGGAAATTTGAAAGTTTTGTCGGAAATTTAGGAGGCTTTGTCCCCCCACCGGAAAAAGTGAATTTCCGCCACTGCATACAATATAACATATTCCGAATGATTATGCACTCAAACATCTGGGTGTAATACTGTAATATGATTTAGTTACCCTCACTTGTGGTCCATGAATATGGGATATAGAGGTGCCTTGAATTAGCCTTTCTCACGCCGCCATTTTTGGGTGGCATTTCAGCCGACGTTTTATAATTTCTTGGACGATTGATGGATAAATTCAGGGCTGACTTTTATCTAATTATCAGCACTCTATATCCGATATATAGAGCACAATTAAGTGTAAGTAGGGTTTGATTTTGACGCCATCTTGTTTTCGTTTCCAAGGAATACGCATGCGTAATTAGTTTTAGGGCCGCGTGCTATATTTTAAGCGGGCCGAGACGGTATCCTTGAAGAGGTCTCGGCCCGTCAAACAATTATGGCACGCGGACCCTTAATTTTGCGTTTACACTGCGAAAATTAAGAGTGCCGTGCCTAAACATTTGGTCCGCGTGCCATTATTTAAGAGTGCCGTGCCAAAAATTAGTGTAGTGTAAACGGGGCTTCGGCCCGCTCAAAATATAGCACGTGGCCCTAAAACTAATTACGCATGCGTATTCCTTGAAAAAGAAAACAAGATGGCGTCAAAAACAAACCGGGGTAAAGTGTGGACAGACGAAGCGACTCGCACTCGCCGGCATCACTTTGTGATCAGAGGAAACAATAAAAATCTCTCTCGAAACATGTAAAACATCGAGGCAGACCAGTAAAGTTTACCAAGTAGTGCTGGTAAGTGACGAGTCATCGCAACTTTGTCTTTGTACTTTTTTTATTTCAACTTTTAATATATTTTTTGTGTGTTTTAAACTCTTAATTCTTGGGTTTTAATTTTTGATTTTCGTGTTTTAGCGTTAACAGTTTATTTTAATTTGTATTTTACGTTTATTTTCGTTTTTTTTTTAAATGTTTTGGTCGGTCTTTACTTTTTACTTTATATGAATTTTAACTTTTTTGTGTGTTTTAACTTTGTCTTTGTATTTTTGTAAATGAATTTTTATCTTGGCTTTCGAACTTTACAAAGTCAAAGAGTCGAATATTTTTTAAAAGGTTACTCTGTGTACAATTTTCCGCTGAACATACACAGCATTTTTTATTAATAACATAGCCAAGACTGAGTCACAGTATTGTAAACATTACATAGATACAGTACATAGCTTGCGAGTCATACTTATGAATAATTTTAAACACAGAAACAGCTTAATTGAAAGCAAAGGATTCATAGGATTCACTCTAAAAGAAATAATAAATAAAATGAAAAAACTACGACAAAAGTACAAGCAAGAGAAGGACAAGACTCGGAAAACTGGAAATAGCGCAGGAAAAAAATGGAAATTTTTTGATGACATATCGATCAATTTCTAGAGAAGAAACACAATATTTCACCCCCAACTCTGACGAATACAATGGCATCCAGTTCAAACCAGTCCACTGAAGAAAACAGCGCTGCTACAGGTTGGAATGTTGGGATGTAACAAGAATTAGAAAGACCAGAGAGTATATTAATAAAATATTTATGTATGAACATATTCTAGAATGTTCTATGTGCGCGTCTATAAATCTACACAGGCAGCCATTCTCTCCATCGCAATAATTGGTTTCTTACTTCTCTTGTTTATATAGTTAACGATATATTATAGATAACGGTTGAAAAATACGGACAAGGGGAAATATGTGTTCGCAAGTGTAATACTTGCGACTATGAGCAAGAAATTAGGTCCGATGGTGTCCATGTATCTGCTGCGGGAGCTGTTTCGGTCTTTTGTGATGAAGATGAGTTTTTCTGCCCAAATTGCAATTCAAATAAAAGCATGAAGTTGAAGATGTGGTGAGCATCCGCTTGTTATTCAGAATGTTTGATTAGTTGTCAAATTTCGAAACAAGCAGATTGATATAAATAAGAAAAGAACTAATTTGTCCCAAACGCGTGCATCTTCACTTCGCCGATTGACGGGCATTGTATCAGCATTGTAACTGTACGTACTGATATTGTTGTTTAGGTTAATGATGAATATGGTAAAGAGGACAGCAAGCCAAAAAAATACTAAAGAGACCGAAAAGCCTGAAGATGTTGGTAAGGCAAGCAAACCTGCAGAAAAACTTCCAGGAAAGAAAAAAAGCAATATTGAGAAGAACCTTGATATTGTCTTTGACAAAATGAAACAAACGGCAGATACTGACTTTGAGAAGTACTGTAAGGGATAAAACAAGTGATTTGTCAGCAAAAACTTCCAATATCAGTTAAGGTTTGCCATAAACTAGTTCCTGCAAACGTTTGACAATTTATTTTTTGGCCTTTGAGAATACACAATCAAATTTATTTCAAATTTTTACCAGCCACATGATTACATTTTTCATTAGGTATCAAAAACTGGAGGAGCAAAGAATTGCTGAAGAACATGAATTTATAATGAAGCAAATAAATCTGGAAAAAGAAATGAGGAAAGAAGAAAGGGAACACGAGTTTCGCATGATGCAATTGTTGAAGGGACATCAAGCTTATTCCGCTATAATGTTCCATTACCAAACCCATTGTACCATTCAATGTGCCTGTTTCTGTCGCTCTAAATAGCTCACCCACAAGTCCCACAACGCCTCAAATTTTCAATAATGGTGATACTATACCGGCACGAGCTTTTCTATGTATCCAAGTGGTAGCGAGACACAAACATACTATAAATTATGATTGTTGGATCCTACTTAGTGGTTAAGCAAGACTTTGTTTACGTTATTTCTTGTTTGACTCATATGCTCTTTCTTGTTTCAATTGACATTTTTACAAACATTATTACCGGTATACAGTACGTCGTATAGTAAACTGTTTTATCACGTTGTTAAATATAGAGCCCAAAAGCTTCATCTAACATATATTTATATATTAATATACACTTGTATTTCAAACGATATATCTTCTACTTTTTATGATTGTTCTTACTGGTAAATAGTTACTTTGTATTTGATGAACGTTTTCTTTCGTAAATTGTAGCAGTTCTTAGTGGTAGGGTACTGTCAATAAATGGGTTAACAAGGATAACAATAATGGGATGTTTCTGAAGGACTCGTTCAACACCCTGTAGTTTGTCTTTTGCTGTCAAAGGCAGCATTACTGCCCTGTGGGTAACCTGGTATCATATTTCTAAATGTCTATCCAACTATTTCTCAGTCCTTATTGGCTGACTATTATAGTCGACCGCAGCGACATTTCATTAAATTTTTGCGTCTTCCAAGCGATATGATACATTAAATTCCTCACTGTAATTTGTGCTGTTACCAAAATATGTCCAAATTTCGTTTAAATTTTTGCGAAACAGCATCAATAATCAATTCCTAATGTATATTATAGTGTTTGTTTATCCGAAAAGTTACGTTTTAACGCACGTGTTATATACCCTGCATGCACGGTCAACCTCGAAAAGTATTATATTGTAATTGTGAATTATTACATCGCATTTGCGAGTTATTATATTGCAGTTGTGATTTATTATATCGCAGTTGCGATTTATTATATTGCAATTGCGATTTTTTATATCACACTTGCAAATTCAATCGCATGCCATTGCGATTTATTATATCGCAGTCGCGATTTATTATATCGGCAATTGCGATTTTTTATATTGCAAATGCGATTTATTATATCGCAAATGTTAGGCTATTTAATACAGATAACAATTTTTGTGAAAATGTAAATCATCAGATGCTAAATAACGAAAAAAAATATGTAAATTAAATGTTAAATAATTTTTTACAAACGTCGCCAAATATATAATTCACAGTCAAGAACTTGATAGCATTTTCTCAGTTATAAGTCATTCCTTTCACATCCTATCACGAGACGCGGATGTTGCTTGATATGTACATAACAATCAAACAATGCCTACCTGTGCATGGCTAGATGCCACAGCCTAATTCAGGAAGTTTATCGCGGAGTTTAATACGTACTAGGAAGTTGTTTCACTTTCAGTAGGCCTACTAAGTCTAAGTACTTTCATGTGTTCATTATTTTGAACTGAGTTGTCACACAAAATTCGTCTCAAAGTCTTAAAAACGTTTTGTACAATCTCCAACCTTCACTTCGTAGTCTTTCATTGGCCCAGAAGAAAACAACTGAATTAAATGTGGAATTCATGCCAACCAATGTTAGTGTCCAGATTTTAGCTTGAACTACTCCATCTACATACTCCACTCGCTCACTAGACAGAGCTAAAACTAGCGCATTTGGTAGATTTAAGAGAATGGTAGAAAAAACTACAACTACATACATTTTTGCAAGTTGTAAATCATGGAAAAACGGGACTTTTTTCTTTTTCCGAGTGGAGTCATGGGATTCACGTGCAGATGTGGTTTCCTCTATTGTGATTGAGAACACGTCTTGGCCAGTACGACTTGATGAACGTAACTTCGAATTTCGTCCTTTTTTAGCCACTATATAAATTGAAATATATATAAAGAAAGTTCCTCCTAGAACAAACACAGCAAGGGCTGTGACAAAAAATTGAATGTCCATGCCAAGTATGGGAGCAATTCCTGTCCCTATGCAAATCAGCCACAGACACACAGATAGTATGAAACATCTCTCTTTCGTTACGTTTCTCATATGGTAAAATGGTCGACAAATTGCCAAGTATCTCTCGATATTCATAACGAAAAATGTAAGATATGACATCCCTGATAATATAACTGCTGACGTTTGGTAAACCATTTTGTAAATGCAGTGCGAAGTCTGGGTAATCTCAGCTATCGAATTGACCAAATGAAACGGATGGACAATTATTGTCACACACATGTCAATACAAGATAAGACCATTATCATGAAATAGGCCACTTTATTTCGTAATTTCGGAGTTTTCCAGAAAACGGCCACGACCAGAGCATTCAGAAATGTTCCTAGAATTGCTAAGATAGCGTTCACGATGCAACCAAATATGCTGTTTATAATATACGATGTTGTCGGCTTACGAACGATATATGTCATGAAACAACTCTCGATTTCCCAATCACCAGAGGAAACGTTGAACGCTGCAGTATTCAGTGGATCCGACATATTGATAGACAATAGAGTTAAATAGAGTTAAATGCAAGTATATCCCAAATACCAAATACAAATTGGCGTCCGGTATACTCGAAACGATTTAGCCAAATAATTCACTCAAGAGATTGTACAAATTCTTTTATATATGCGTCATCGGATATTTCTTTGTTTTCACAGGAAGGATGACACTGATTATACAATTCATTTTGGATACGGCATGATCGATTGAAGTACTTTATTTTCTTTTTCGAAGGTATATATTGTATCGGAGTTTAGGCCTATCTATTCGTCAAGCGTCGAGGGTGAAGGTAAGATTTTAAATGTCGAAGGCGATGGTACAATTTCGACTTTCGAGCGCAAGGGCAGAGTATTAAATGTCAACAGTTAAAATGTCGAGGCCGAGGGTATTGTGAGATATTTTGTATAGATGCTTTGTAGCAGTGGCCACTGAGCTAGCCGTGGAAACTGGTCATGCTATGCTAATAAACCGTCATCTAAACTAGATTCAAGACTATATATACATTTCTAAGTAAAGATTTGAACTTTCAATAATGCAAATAATTAAAAATTAGTATAGCGCATGACCTGTTGGCCCTGTTGCTATGGCTAGCTCGCCATTGGCATTGTTTTGTAGTCGATTAAGTGCAAACTTAATGTTAACTGCAAATTTATATTCTCGTGAACATGCTTTTTCGCTGGTTAATTATAAATGCTTTATAATATAGTCTTTATAGCCATTAACTGCAACAATAATATGTTCATCTCTGTTGCCATATTTTGACAGTTTAGTCAGCCACAAGGCACAATCCGTGTCGCAACTGTGTGAAGATTTGAAATGGTTTTTTTTCGGAAATTCAAACGGCTTAAGCTAGTTGTCGCGAACTACGTCATTGACAATAATCATGGTTGTGTTAAAAGATAAGGAAGTGTGTGTGTGTTATATCATTAAAGGACAATGGCAACAAAATTTTTTATTGTCTATATTAAAAGTGTTGCTTCATCTAACTATATTTCACTGTTAATTTATATATCGTCGGTCATCTTGGCTCGTATTTGCGAAAAATTATCTTTTGGGTAATATGACCCGTATGACGTAGATGGCAGGGTAGAATCAAAATAACAATATATTTTTGTATGGCGTGTATCGAGATTTAATACGTTTTCTCAAAAAATTAATGCTTTTGAGTCATTTTAATGGAAAATATTCACGAGAACCAAGTAGGAGAAGTGTTATCATACCAATATGAACCAGAAGTAGGAGAAAAACAAGCAATATTTTAATTTTGGGATAGGTATAAATATAGGACCTCTACACGCGTCTTGGACCTTTGGTTTGTGGTTTACTTATAATCATTTATTTAATGGATTTCTTTTATTTTCAACGTTGTATTGAATGTAGACCATGCCGTTAAATATTGTATATTATAGGTGCACGCGTATAATGCGTGCCGCATGCGCTGTTTTGTGTCTTTTTATGTCAATCCATTGTAGAAATAGTATACCGAAATTGAAGCTAGTATGTTCTGTAAGTAAAGTTATTACTTGGCAACGTTTCCCTTTTCAATTGTATTCTAAACGTTTCATTGCACTGTATTCGTTTTAAAAACTTTGGCGACTGTCCTTGTTCATACGCGTTTTCGGCAAAATGAAGTGAGCATATATTCTAGTCACATCGTGATTTGTGGGCGCATGGCGAAGATGGTATTAATGCTTTGCCCTTATAGGCCTTATACAGAATTCAATCAATTAACGCTTTTCTCCTATATTGCTGATCTACCGATTTGCCCTTTGGAAAATTGAAGAAACAGATTTCACTTGTGTGTTGGCTGTCACTATTACAACCGTAGACGGCAATACATGTTTTGCAGTGCACCTTACGTTTTACATGAACAATCTAGATATTTTCGTTATTCAAGCCGTACTCAGAGCTGACTATATATAATATTTGCAATTTCGGTAATATATATATTCCCACACGTGAATTTAGGGTATTTTACATAACAATGAAAATATTGATAATATTGGGAACTATACTGCTACAGTATACACGCATATATTTACCTATATAAAATGAGAACCAAGTAAAACTACATGTAAAAATACATCACAACATATAACCAGATTATAGTTATTTTACACTTATCTCTTGTATGAGAAAATCTCATACTGACCTTGAATGTCAATTTACTCATTTGCGCGATGTCTAACATGTGCGACACTACACATTACAGAAGAGGCAAATCTTGTTTGTGAGATAACAGCTATTTCACTAGCATAGCAATGTCGTTTGAAAGCCTGCTTGTTTTAAAAACAATCAATAGTTGTGAAATCTGAAGCTAGAATTATCCACTGCAACATTGTTGCAGTTCCGCCAGTTAATTGGTTGAATTATTTTTGTATTAATAATAATAACAACACTTTGAAACACTAAATACTCAGTAGAATTTCAATGCAAGTTATTTCTATATTTCTGCAACAGAGCATGCACATACATAAATGTATATGCTATACATATATACATACATTTGGAATATATGATATATGTAATTGGAACAGCAGAACTACCATAACTGGAGTCAATGTCTAAGCGCATTTTACAACGCAAATATACGCGTACTGTCGAAAACACAATCACAGACCATTGGTAGTAAGTTGCTACACATTATTGAACTATGAATACACGTTGCAACGTATCTGTATTTTTTTTGTAAACATTTTCTTCCAAATCTCAACGTTGTTACAGTGTAACTTTATACTGTGGGATTTGCGTTTACCCTGCCATCTACGTCACGAAATGTATTCATGCATAAATTAGCATACGCGGAATTTTCCCAAGATGGCGGACGACTGTTAAAATTTGTTAAACATTTTTGCAAATTATCTGAACAACTAAATGCAATGAACAAACAAAAATATGAAATTAAGTATTCCATTAGTAAGCTTAATAAATACAGACAATAAAAAAATTTGTTGCCATTGTCCTTTAACCGTGGTTATATGAGTCCTGCAGTTACGATCGTGGACCTTGGAACGGCTCTTGACCAAGGGAGAACAATTCAGAACTGATAATTATGCAGTCTATAATACACATCAGAGTCTCAGAGATATAAAAACGTCTTTAATAATCTCTTCTTCTAAAGCTTACAAGTTACAACCACTAAAGAGGCCTAGGGAATAATTTCTCATGCATCATGCATCCAGTACCATGCATGCAGATATTTGCTGAATTTCCCAAATTATAGGCAAAATTTGACCAAGTGCGGCAGTGCATAATGACAGTTGAATCACACACCCCCCCCCCCCCTTCCCCATGATTTTCCAGAACAAAAATATTGAACGGCTGTCTTTAAAACAGGGAATCGGGGAATCAAATCTACGCGATTTTTAGTTGTTAAAAATAATCAAAAATATGTTACTTTTAAAGTACTGTTAGTAATTTGGGATTACCCGACTTATTATTAGCATGACAAAATTATTGGATGCTGATTGGTTGAGAGGAGTACAATTATTTCATTAATTGTACTGCAGTACAATTAATGATTTTCCCAAAACAAACAAAATGGCGGAAACGTATTTTAAACTCAAGCGTGAAATGAAATTGCCGTGGAGGAACTAGATGAAAATACGAACACAAGCACCAAATTTTGCTTTAACAAAAGAACTAAATGAAATTACAAACAAAAGCACCAAATTTTGGTTGAAAGTCTGGCAGGACTGGGCTTTGGCGAGAGAATATGATGCTGACATTGAGAAGTACGTATCCAATTTTGTCATGCTCGTAAACAAGTAATCATGCGATGTTGCTCGTACAATTAGGGATTCATAGTACTCGTGATGTTTGGAAATTTGCCAAATTGGACTCACCCCGGCGGCTCGTCCAATTTTGGCAAAATTTCCAAACATCACGAGTACTATTAATCATGGCAAGAAATTTTGGACATTTGCCTATAAAACCAGAGCTCGTTCCCAGTCCCCAGAAATTTCAGCGATAAATGGTTGAAAATCGCCAAAATTATGAACAAAACCGTATATTAGAGATGATTTTTATTGCTTTTCTAAAAAGTAGGAACGGATACATAAAATATGTTCATAATTCTATATATAAACGTCAAAATTTGCCGGAAAATGAATAATATGCTAGGGGCAAAATCGTTTCGAAACTTTGTAATCCGATAAAATAAATCTCTATATTGTGACGCGAAATAGGTGCGCGGTCAGACGAAAAAGCGGCATATCCCAATCGGAGCATGCGTAGTCTCAAAAATAGGAGCAAATTCAGAATCGCTTCACTGTGACGAACATTTCGATACTAAATTATCAAATGCGTCAAGTTTTAGGATAAGGCATTTGGCGTCGAGTTGGGTGTAGAGCCCTACAGCGCTACGCCGGAAGAGTGTTGAGTATTAGAAGCATTTCCTGTTATTCGACTTGGTACATTTATACTTCATCAAGCTAGTATGAAGTTTAGTATCGATTAAAAAACGATTTAAAAATATAAAGTAATAGCAAAAAGTGTGTGATAGTCGTATGTGTTGTGCTTTGTTTGATGCGTTTTATACGGTTTGTTCGTTCAAGATTAATTAATACATAGTCAGTTAGTCACGGCATACATAGTGTTGAAGTCATCACAGACCGTGATATCTTCGAGCAGTAGCATATCGTTGGATAGTCAGATGGGCATTTGGCATGCTGGGATGGGAGAATTCCAGACATGAGACCACTTCCAGCATGCATAGTAAATGCTAGTAACTGCACTGCTTTATAGGGTTAGATAGTACAGATGCAAACAAGATTGCGTGCGAGTGCTGGTGTGAGTTTCGTGACGTCGGTAGACGCGCTATGTCTGTTGCGCAATAGAATTTGTATTTTCGGTCGTTTATACGCTACAACTCGTCATGTTGTAATTATATTGTATCTATACATTGAAAGCGATGTCTACAGAAAGTGAATTCCTTTTAATTTTCTTCAAAATCTCTCAAAAACCCAATTCTACACTGACGAAGCTATAATTTTCATACTGTTTACATATCGAAAGATCGCAATGTGTCACACTGCATACGTCACTGGCCGCGCGATGGAATGTCAGGAATTTCGCCGGACGTAGATAGTCTCAAAATCGAACTTTAATCGTAAAATTAACAAACTTCTGGTTCGAATTTTTCAACAAGGTTGGTATTTTTGTGATCGGAAAAGTCCAAATTTTCAGAAAATGCAAAAAAAAAAACGATATAGAAATTTTCATTTCATATACACTTATTACAATGTCAAACAAATCCTTTTCCCAAAAAATTCGTGAGAGAAAGCGAATTAGAAATGAACGGACTTTGTCGATGTTGGCAAATATGCCCAGTAAAGAAATTCGAACTTACACCGATAGATATTTGAAAATGTCGTCACAATTGTATTGTCTAATGTCTTTAATATTGGCCATTGACTGGTAGTGGTACCGGTGGTACTAATGGTGATGGTTACGAGGTTCATCCAGAAAGACGACTTTTAGTAAAAGGCACTAAGTAATGTGGCGTACTTGAAGGTATTATTTAACAATTATTCGCCGAAGGCGTAGTGATTATCGGTGAATAAAAACCAAGATGAAGTCGAGGTTTTTCTTCACGATAATCACCCAGCCTGAGGTGAATAATTGTTTTAGTATAATTTCATAGGTGATTATTTGGAAAAAAAATACACATTTCTTCGTCATTTATTTGAAAAAAAATGGCTTCGGCCGCCATTTTGAAAATCGCTTAGGTGATTATCGCTTTATAATCACCTCATCGGCAACCAATCAGCGTGGAGAATTTTCAATAATCATCTATGTCATTATACTAATATCTAATATTATACGGAGGATATATGTATAGTCTGTCAGTATGAATACTGTGCCTTGTTCCAATGTAATAATGACAGAATTTTGGGATTTATGACCTTCTAATTACTTTTATAAACTCGTATCAGCATGTGGAAAATGGCATTTCCGAGCACTAGAAATCAAAACATTTTCCCGGGGAGGCATGCCCCCCTAGCTCATTCGTGGCTTCGCCACTCACTGCTCAACCCCCCCCCCCCAACATTCGACCCTGGCTATGCAACTGCAATACATTATAGTATAGTATATGCTCTACAGTTTACCAAAAATCAGGATATTTTGAGAATGAAATTATTTTGCATTACTGCACACTAAAAGTTTATTCATAAACCATAAAGTTTATCAATTTATGGAAATATGGCGAGATTTGAAGTGTGACATCATTACAATGTATTGAATTACCCCACTGAGTACATACGCGACCAGGCTAAGAATGACACACAACGACAAATATATACTATTAGTCCTTTTGGGGTCGCGCAGCTGCATGCTATGTATCAGGGACGTGCTGGTGTCTTAAAAAGGACAACGCCACGTCTGATGGGGCCCAGGCCCGGTGACAGATGTCTCAAGATTAATATTTTTCCCCAAAATTGTTGGCGGGGAGGGGGATTTTTTCCGGACGTACAAAAATTTTTCCAGATATATCGCACTTTTTCCGGACATACAAAATTTTTTCCGGACATATTTTTCAAGCTTGCTCGGTGTGGATACACACTCAGAGTAACATCACAAGCATATCATATCGTAATTTTGTTACATTTTTCCGTAATATTTTCGTAAATTTAAATTTTTACAATATAAATTGTAATGTCTTAATCTTGATTTTCAAAATTAAAATCTATGTTTTTAATTGTTTCTAATGTTTTCATTTTAGGGGCCCATGATATGACAGGGGCCCACACCTGCTACACCTACTACATGTATGTATCATATGGCATGGCACATACGTGCATGTCATATGCATTGCTCCCAAGGCAAAGAGCAAGGAATTCGCATCATTGACATGCATAGTCGACTTAATTTTTGGTGAACCCATGCATGCACCATGCAAAGACCAACTATTTGCCCAGCTCTGTCTGTGTATTATTCTTAGCTAGCTAGTATATATTTCCAGTTGCATTCCTACCAATGAAAGCTTGCTAAAGTCGTTATATAATGTTTACTAATCTACTTGTTTTGAGTAAAAAAACCTTCATAGAAAGCATTGCTTGTTCATACATAATACGCGTACAAACTTTTAATTATTGAAACACACTAGCCTCAATATACACGCAGTATGTTACATAATAAGAAGATTAAAATAAGAAATAACGAAAGTAGAAGCAAGAGAACACTAGTCACTATGAATTATATATCTTATCCAGATTCAAAGATGAAAAAAATGATCGTTTTAAAGCTGTAGTGTAACTTATTTTTCAGTTTCTTGTTTTTATGGTTTGTAGGCTAGGTTTGTTCCCGAGATATTTCAATTTGTTTGATATGTAAATGAATGTGAGTATGTCCGATATGATTATGACGTCACATTGGTTGCAAGCTCTTCAAAACGGTTGGATATCACTGCTATCATCCAAGTGATAATTTCAAACTTCACTCACTCGTAAATGTGATGAAACACTGGAGAAAAACGTGAACTGATATCTACAGTTTTTAGAGTTAATAGATTTATAACCAGTGTAAGGTCACACTCATTTACATATCAAACAAATTGAAATATCTCGGGAACAAACCATAAAAACAAGAAACTGAAAAATAAGTTACACTACAGCTTAAAGAGTTCTTTCATTTAAGGAGAAAATATGAAATTTGATGTCATATACACTTTAAAGGAACTTACAGATTAATTTTTTAATCATATGGTAGGGCTATTCCAAAGTGCAGCACCATTATAGTTACAGCACCTCTTGCCGAAATAGCACCTCTTAGGAAGTGCGAAGTCAGACAGTTTCTTTATTTCTAAGATTGTAGGTGTTATCCGTTTCTTTATTTAATTGGAAGGACCATTTTAGATTGGGTACGGTGTGGTCGTTCACAATTTTATGGATGAAGATTGATTTGAGGCAGTTGTGGTTTACTCTATAGGGGTTCCCAGTGAAGATTTTCAAGCAGATTAGGAGATCAATTTCCCATAGGTTGCCCCAGAAATTACTCCTGCCGCGCGATTTTGATATTTCTGCATGGCCTGTCGTTGAGGCCAATTCAACAATTGTCGCAGAGCGGGCTGCAGTAACCAAAGTAAGCTTAATTAAGGTTGATCAATGGTATTATATTTCATTGTTTCACTCGTTTAAAATACTTATTAATTTTATTTGCTACCAGTCACCATGCATAATAATTTATCTTAATTTGTAATGAACTTGGTACAGACACATTGATTCTCAGATCCTATTAAATATTAATTATAGAGCTGTAGAGCCGGAGCTGCAGAGTTGTAGCGCTGCAGAGTTGTAGAGCTGTAAAGTTGTAGAGCTGTAAAGTTGTAGAGCTGTAAAGTTGTAGAGCTGTAAAGTTGTAGAGCTGTAAAGTTGTAGAGCTGTAGTGCTGTATAGCTGTATAGCTGTAGAGTTGTAGAGCTGTAGAGTTGTAGAGCTGTATAGTGCTGTAGAGTTGTAGAGCTGTAGAGTTGTAGAGCTGTAGTGAGTTGTAGAGTTGTAGAGTTGTAGAGCTGTAGAGCTGTAGTGCTGTAGAGCTGTAGAGCTGTAGAGCTGTACAGTTGTAGAGCTGAAGAGTTGTAGAGCTGTAGTGCTGTAGAGCTGTAGAGTTGTAGAGCTGTAGAGCTGTAGAGCTGTAGAGCTGTAGAGCTGTAGAGTTGTAGAGTTGTAGAGCTGAAGAGTTGTAGAGTTGTAGAGCTGTAGAGCTGTAGAGCTGTAGAGTTGTAGAGCTGTAGAGTTGTAGTGTTGTATAGAGCTGTAGAGCTGTAGAGTTGTAGAGCTGTAGAGTTGTAGAGCTGTAGAGTTGTAAAGCTGTAGAGCTGTAGAGTTGTAGAGCTGTAGAGTTGTAGCGTTGTAGAGTTGTAGAGCTGTAGAGTTGTAGAGCTGTGGAGTTGTAGAGCTATAGAGTTGTAGAGCTGTAGAGTTGTAGAGCTGTAGAGTTGTACAGCTGTAGAGCTGTGGAGTTGTAGAGCTATAGAGTACGTTGTAGAGTTGTAGAGTTGTAGAGCTGTAGAGTTGTAGTGCTGTAGAGCTGTGGAGTTGTAGAGCTATAGAGTTGTAGAGTTGGTTCAGCATATTTTTTTTTTGGAAGCAACGGTTCAGCATTTGTTTCGGAAACAACGGTTCAGCATTTTTTTTCGGAAACAATGGTTCAGCATTTTTTTTCGGAAACAATGGCTCAGCATTTTTTATCCAGAAAATACACCAGTCGGAAAATTCCGTTGTCATGGCAACATAATTTTTCAACCCTGGTTTACTTCTGGTATTGATCTACATAACAGCTGTGTAAGATTTCACGCTTCGTGTAGCGCTGTAGAGCTCTACACCAAACCCTACGATTTTTTTGCTATCCTAAAACTTGACGGGTCTATATTATATATTATATCCCTCCATGCGTTTATATGGACTTTATTTTTATGTTTATATCAATTCAGACCTAAAAATGATCTAAATTTGAAATGCTTGTCTATGTTTGATATGCGCGTTAGAGTATATCACTGCATATGTCCTACTTATATGGGCAATTTATTGGTATGCCCTAATTGTACTCGCCATCACATGATTACCTATACAAAGTATCCGTGAATGAAAACTAAAAACATACCGAGTCGCCGCCGCCGCCGCCGAATTGCGCCCCTTGGTTTGCATATAATAATATTTATTATATAAACATAAGTGTTATATAGAGTTTTTGGCCACTGAGAAAAATCGTATTTAAACACACGTAAAAAATACGATATTTTTACGTGTGAAAATATCATTTGTTGTAAAACGCATTGTCACGGACGTTTTATTGTTTTTCACTGAATTTTGTTTATATAATAAACGGAAAAATACATGGGTGCTTGGAAATACCAGATTTATTTCTCGTGTTGAACATGATATCTCACTCGTTCGCTGCGCTCACTCGTGAGATATCATGTTCAACACTCGAAATAAATCTGGTATTCCCACGCTCCCATGTATTATTCTCTATTTAACATATAAAGCGTGGGCTTTAGTTTAATGTTATCCCGTTTCCTGTAAGATGCATGCATTTTACAGTCTATTTATTCAAAAAACTTGCGCGTTGAAACAAAATTCTATAGACGCTAATGTCTAATTGAAATTAATAAAATTATATGTTATTAAAATCACATATGTACACAGCGCTGTTATAATCTATAATATATCATAAGCATAAGTTATTTAAGACAACTGATTCGCATTGTGATACTTATGATATACGTTCAAAAGATATTTTAAAAAAGTTGAATTGGAAAAACCTATCCGTAAAAAGAAAAGAAAAAGCAAGTGCGTATGTTTCAAAAGCCTATTACAGGAAATTGCCCGAAAAATATAGCTGAAAAGTTTAAAATATCAAATTCTGAAAGATATGATTTAAGAAGCAATAATAATTTTTTAGCATTGCCAAAACCGAAAACAAATTCCATGGTTCGCACCTTTGGATATATGCTGCTGCTAAAATTTGGAACGAAAGGAATAAAGTAGAGTGAATGTATCTCTATCTCTGTATTTTTGTTTAGTTTTCTTTTTAATATTGTAAATAACTGGTATACTTACTGACACACGGCCTAATGAAAAGCAACCATTTTAATTTGTATATATATATATATATATATATATATATATATATATATATATATATATATATATATATATATATATATATATATATATATATATATATATATATATATATATAATAGTTGGGTTGATTAGACACCGTGTTAAAAGATGTGAAAATATTAGTAATAACAATAATAGCGAATGCGTTTTCCAACAAGCACACTAATATCCCCGTCTTATCAGTTCTGGATTCCCCGATTCCCGGATTTCCCGGATTTCCCGATTCCCGGATTCCCCGATTCTCCATCCCTGTTTTAAAGATAGCCCAAGTGAACCCAATTTTTGCATGTCAGAGCATAATTAACAATCAGTACTATCAGTAAATGCACTGTAAGACAGCTACAACTGTCCATGGGCGGGAAAACTGTATATACAGAGTTTAAAAACTGTAAAATCAGTTGAGGTTTACCTGATAAAAAGGCTGTTTACTTTTCTGCACTTTCTTCAGTGTTTTCTAAGTTGATGTATTTTGCTCGCTCTCATTCAAACTGTGGCTATAAAAGCGCTGTCTACCCGGGATGAGTCCGTTTTCCCAAGCCGGTTTCTCATATTGGTCGTTGAATGGCACAGTATATATATTTACGAATGAAGTTTTCAATTGATTTAAGGTGTCCATCTTCACAGCTTGTAGGGGCATATCACTATAATTATATGCGTTTAGTGTCCGGAGACCAGGAGTGAGGTCACCTTGAAAATGCCTGAAACTTTTTAATACTGTGCGTTAACGTTTATAGTATATAATGGAATTAGTCCTTCCATGGAGCAAAATTAAATATATTTCATGAGTTTAATATGATATTGCTTTCTATTTGACAATTGCTCGTCTTAGTGTTATTTTTTACCTGAATGATAACCTCGCTTAGACCAATCTATTGTTAAAACATTTATTGAAAGCGGATTTCCATTTGACAACTATATATAGTAGTGGCTCCTAATGATAACAGTTAATATTGTAAATTATTGGATTACCATATTTAAATGAAGTTAAGAAGTTTCTATATCCTCTTCAGTTTTACCATGCAGATCATCTGGTATTTAAATTAATTAGCTCAACATGGACCATCCCTGACATAGGTGACTTTGCCATTGGTGCGACAATTAGCAATGTTCAAGAAACAACCATTGCTGTATGTCTTGCCATCTGAACCACAAACTGGAGCAAATATAAGAGGACAGAAACGTGGACAAACGCATGACGGTTTGTTTGTTTTGCGATCAATTTCACAAAATTTTCTTTTCGGGCATTTGACATCTCGGCATGGATCTATGAAATAATGTAGATGAATCAGAACCTTCCATCTTCTACCCTTTACACAGACACATTAATAGTTCTTAGAAAAGTTATCAGGCGGCAACCTCGTACCCAGGCTCTTTCCACTACGCGCCAGTGGAAAGAGCCTGGGTACGAGGTTGATCAGTCGGTTGGCTTTAGAAAGGATAAATTCCAGAATGTTTCTTTACCAAATTAGATATCTATTCTCATAATGCGTGCCAAGTGCGTAACATATATCAAGCTTGATTCGGAAGAATCTTAGTCAAATTGCTCGGTTGAATAACCATGACAACAACCTCATTTACAAACAATATTAATCTCAGTCCTTATCCTCTCAATCCCATTCCGAATCAGAAGCTTAATCTTTATGACGTCATTTCAGGATTAAAGTAAAAATGGAAATGAAGTCACCCAAGTTGTCCAATCAACGTCACCCAAAGTGTCCAGTCAACAATAGAATGGGTGCAATGCGCATGCGCTCCAAGTTCATTTTTTAAACTTTTTGTTAAACATTTACGGCGTTTCATTTATCCAGTTTTGGTTTCAATATACAATTACTTTAAGGTTTCCGTGTTTGGATGGCCTGATCCAATTAACACGCGGGAATGTTGCGAACTCGAGTTTTTGTGTTTTTTTAAGTGTTTGGATCAGGCCATCCAAACACGGAAACCATAAGGTAATTGTTTTATCAAATAACAACTTTCCGTGTTAAAATTTCACTTTAAAAAACTTTCACTTTAAAGTACATTGGCAACGAAAATTTTTATTGGCTATTTCAATCCTACTTGACAACCGAACTATGAAAATATTATCATTTCCTTCTTGAACATTTTAGTCTACGAGTAAATGCATGCAAACTTTGTGTTTCGGCCAGTTTCGCCGCCATCTTGGAAAATATTTTTGAAAAATTATCTCGAAGGTCAATGAACTTTGTGACGTCATTGGCTGGGGCGTGCGTGTTATGTTAGCTAAAAATATGTCGTTTTGAGCGTTATACTGGCCAACACTCTTCGCAATCAAACAAGAGAAGTCTATACTATCAGATAAAAACATATAGAGCGACTGGGAAAGCAAGAAATGGCGCAATTTGCAATGCAGGTAATTCATCATAAAATATTGCATTAGTATTTGCCTTTTTACACTCGCTTATTTAAAACGGAGTAGGATATATACTATGAGAAATAGTGTTACAAACAAGTTACATACTTGGTAAAACTTTTCTGCCTTTTGTTTTGGCTCAAAATGCACTATGCGTGGTAATACACGGCATTGTTTATAGTCATGAGATTGTGTTTACCCAGCCAATGACGTCAGATAATGTATTTTGTGGCATAAATTAGCATACGCGCTTATTTTCAAAATGGCGGACAACTGTTCAAATTTTCTCAAATTCAATCAAATTTTCTCAGCAACTAAACGCGACAAACCGGCCAAAATATGAAATTAAATATTCCGTAAGTATACCTAATAGATATAAGTAATAAAAATTTTGGTTGCCAATGTCCTTTAAATTTCCGTGTTTGGATGGCCTGATCAAACACGGGTTTCGACCAATCAGAGCACGCGTTATATACATGCTATTTTATAAATAAAGTTAATCACTCCAATAACCGGTGAATTATTCATACTTTTACTATACAATTACTTTATGGTTTCCGTATTTGGATGGCCTGATCCAGACACGCGGGAATTGGTTGCGAGAGTTAAGAAAAGCAAGCGAAATCACGAGCCGAAATAGCAAAAATAACAACTTTCCTTGTTAAAATTTCACTTTAAAAACTTTCACTTTAAATTTCCGTGTTTGGATGGGCTGATCCAAACACGGGTTTCGACCAATCAGAGCACGCGTTATATACATGTTATTTTATAAACTTATATACTATATAACAAAACATTTTTACTGAGACCTCGGGAAAGTGTGTTTTGTGGCCCCTCGACCGCGCGGTTGTTGCAACAACGCCGGTCTCGGGTCCACAAAACACACCGTTTCCCTCGGTCTCAGTAAATAAGTGATAATTATATAATAACTACAGTGAAACGCGTGCAGGATCAGGCGCGTCAATAGCCGTGCAGGATCAGGCTATCCTGCACAAGGAATTAAAATGCCTTCGCGGGATTCTCAAAATGTAATTGTTTCATTGTAGTTATTTTATAAAACAATTACCAATCCATGCACTTACCGATCATGCAATTTAATAAATCACTTTAATAAAAACTTACCGATCAATTTAATAAAACAATTACCGATCCATGCACTTGGGATGTTGCTCGACTTTCGGAAAGCGTAAAAATACACTCGCCTGCGGCTCGAGTATTTTTACGCTTTCCGAAAGTCTCGCGACATCCCTCGTGCATGGATCACGCAATCCTGCACGGAAAACCATTCGGTATTCCTTTAAACGTCATAAGTAACAATGAGTAATAATAGTATAATAATATAATACAAGAAGGATTATAAGTGTTGAAGCAATATAAGTGTTG